CTGAAAAGAATTTAAGAGAATTGAAACCTCAGTTGCTGTGGCGAAGAGAAAAATGTTGTGGGCAGCCTTTAAGCTGCAGAAAATACCTACGTGAATTTTATGCCAGATTCAGTCCAGAATAGTTTGTCCCTGAGGAAGAGCGCCTTGTCTGAGAAGGTACGTATTTGCACAGGTGCTTTTAAGATCTTTGTACCAAGGTCCTTTCTAGTGATTATGGCTTAAAGAAAAAAAAAAAAAAAAACAACAAAAAAACCACCCTCACCCCCGCCATAAAAACCCACAACATACAAATCCTCACTATTACAAACAACAAACTGAACTTCTGTCTCTTCTGACACAAGTTAAGATTAGACAATAGTGTTTACATTACCTCTATTGATAGACATAATGAGCTTTCGAAGATGTCATCTGTTTTTATAGCATGTCTTTGAGCTTTTGTTATCAGAGCAGCTCCTAACAGCATATGGCTCTGTAACTGGCATATTCCCCTTCCTCAGGATAGCCTGTAATTCTGAGGCACTGAGAGAACATGTTTTCTCTTGATTTGACTCATCCTCATTTGAGAGACGAGGTGCATAGTCCACTAAAATTTTCTACCAAACTTCTTGGAGTTTACCTGCGGTTTACAGGGCTGTCAAAAGGGAGGAGTAGACAAATTTTGTGACTAGGGAATTTGCCAAGAGTTACCTGTTAAGAATTCTTCTGGTTTATCTTAGAAAGTGATAATTCTTTCTGAAGATAATTCTCCCTGAATGAGGGACTCTTCATTTTCCCTGAACTTTTCAGATGCCAGTTCAAGAGAAGACTGGAGACAGCAGATGCTGGTCTCTGGTTTCCAAACCTTTCCTGAGGTTTTTTCACTATTGTTTGGGTTGATGTTTTTGTTGGTGGTGTTGGTTTTGGCTGTTTGTGATTTTTAGGTTGGTTTGTGTTGGGTTTTTTTTGTTTTCCCAAGTGACAATATGCAAAAGTCTGCTTTGAATCGCCACTTCTGGTGACTTGCCTCAGTATTTTGGTTTCCAGACTGCAGTCATTTCTAGTGGGTGCTGTGAAGGCAATCTGGCTCTGCTGGAGAAAAGACTACGTTAATCCAAATATAGTAAATATTTTTCTTGGGTTACTTTTTGTGTTCAGTTTAGCCTGAAGGATTCGGATCTAAAAACAGCCGGGGGGGGGTGGTGGGGTGGTGGGGTGGGGGGGAAGATAAAGTGGAGATTATATGCTACAAAATATACTTTAAAGTTTTGCTTTAAATTCCTGTGCAATGGCCTGCATCTTGTAAAACTCAATACCCAAGGAAATGTCAGAGTGATAATTTGCATGGTTTTTTGCAAACTATGTTATGTTATAACATGCTAAGCAAACTCCATGTTATACTAATGATGCAAATCTCAGGTACTAATGAGTTTTGTTCAGGTTGTACAAAAGGGATAGAAAGCCATACTGTACTTTCGGAATGCATAAATGTGATCTGAATTATTTTCAATTGGGAGATTAATTGTTGAAGGATAGATTCTAGGCTGTTCATGGGTGTTTCAGAAGAGTTACAGAAATAGTGAAGACCTTACATCAAAGTTTTAATTTATTAGTTTTTTGTTTGTTGGAGTTTTGAGGAAAATATTTGAAAATCATAATGTTGTTTCATTTTCTGAGAACTGTTGTGAGGTAGAGGGCTTGGTTGTAGTTCCAGGCTGATGACTGAGTTTTAGTGTTTTACATGTCTTATGATCCTAGAAACTCTTTCTACAAAACACTGATAGTAATTACATAGTCCTGATACATTTATAGAATATATCTGTATCCGTGCTAATACTTTTATAGCTTCTATGTTTCACTCTAGCAGAACACAATTTAAATAAATATTTAAGTAGACAATGTTAGCTGTGAACAGTGGATTTTGGCACAAATTTAGAAAGCTTATTGGGGTGCTTGGTAAGTTCTGCTAGTGATATTTATATTTTAGTAATACTTAAATGTGATTGTTTTTCTTGAAACCTTCCTAGATGTTTAATGTTTGCTACATATTGATGTAACATGCAGTATATGTTTTCTGGCTTACTGGAAAATGCTTGTGAATTTTTGGGTTTTGTTGGTTGGTAATTTGATTGTCTTGATACATATGAAACATATTTTTTTCCTTAATGCTCCTGATTTTGAGACTTTTAGACTTCACTGACTTTTAGTGTTTGGTGACCTACACAGCCTACAATTAGCCGTATTTGTAAGGTACTGAACAGTATTTCATGATCTCAATCATGAAAAGCACATGTAATAAAGTGGTCCACGTGCCTCAGTGACATATACTTCTGGCAAGGAAACCTTTCCTTCACAGCTGACCAGAGCCACCTCCAGTGTTTGAGGATTTGTTTTCCTTTTGCAATTGCTATCTCAATTCCCCCTTCTCTAGCAAGTGATCCCACCTGCTTGGCTTCCTTACCCTCTAGTTTGTGACTTTTGGCCCCATTGTCCCAGCATCGGGATATCCAGGTGATGGTGTGCTCACCTATAGGACAGCTGAAGTCTTTTCTTATATTCCACAGCTCTGTCAAGGACAGTGATTGAGAACTCTTCATCTTCCTCTGTTTCTTGTACTAATTCTTCTTGTTCAGCTGTTGCCCCCTCTAGTTCTGGCACTGAGCCTTCTGCATCTTCCTTCACTACATGAGTTGCCTTTCCTCTTGCTTATAGTGGCAATTGATGTTGTCATAGATTGGTACTTAGGATCAGCTGCAGTGCCTGCTACTGGCTACTGGCTGCTGTGCTTGTTACTGGGGATGAAGTAGCCCCGTTGTCTGTTGCTTTGCCATCAGGTCCAGAGATGCTTTCCCTTTGAGGGTACTGGATAGAGTTGAGCAGGGCTCTGTAGGTGTAGGCCAAGCCCCAGTATGTTGTGGTTATTTGTCCCGGTCTGGTGTTGCCAGGACAACAACATACCTTGCCTACGTGTTTCAACAGCTTTTCTGGATTTCACATTTGTTCAGGGGTGAAGTTCCAAAGCACCGGAAAGCCCCACACTGGCCCAAGTGCTTGCCTATACTGTCCCACACACCCTGCCACTCATGACTGTCCAGCCTTGGGAAAGATCTCCAGGTGATATTCTTATTTAAGATTAAACAACTATCTTAAGACCTGAACAAAGTGATGGTTCCCAGCAAAAGAAGCAGGCTGGTTTCAAGGGTATTCAAAGTATATTGAATATCTTTAAAATTTTCAAATGCCATTGTAATCAGCCTGGTGGGGGAGTGGAAGGCACAGGAGGATGTCTCCTCCATAGGATGTCCCTCCAAGTGGGGAAAAAAGAGTTGTAATTCCTAATAATTCCCATTACATGCTTCTCAAAGTATGGAGATTATGGTAATGCTGAGAACACATACCAGATCAGTTTCATGATCCCTAATTCTATTGTATCACAAGTGATTATCATAAAGTAAACAAAACAAGAACCTTAGCTTAGGCCCCAAAGCCAATAAACACCAAAAAAACAAATACTGGTTGCAAGTAAGGTGTGACATAAAGAAACTGTGAGACCAAGCACAACAACTCTGAGAGCGAATGAATCAACATTGTGATGAGTGACTATTACTCTGAAACAATGAATGCTTATCACAAATATGTTTAGACAGACTCTGGTCAGATCTGTCGTTATCTCAGCCTTTTGTGCCCCTTGTTGGGCAACACAAAGGACTTTCCTGGTTTAAGCCCATCCAGTAACTCAAAACCATGCAGACGCTCACTCACTCTCCCCTATTTTCCCCGCCCTGCACAGCAGGATGGGAAGGAGAATCAAAACATAAACTCCACAGGCTGAGATAAGAATAGTCTAGTAACTACTACTACTAATAATAAGGGAAATAACGGGTAGAGAATATAACACTGAAAAGGGGAAAAAAAACCCAACAAACAAAATCACAAGAGGTGTGCAATGCTCATGACCTGCTGACCGATACCCAGCCCAACCTGACCAGCAGTTGGTCCCTTCGGGGTGACTCCCACCCAGTTTGTATACTAGGCATGATGTGCTGTGATGTGGAATACCCCTTTGGCTAGTTTGGATCTGGTGTCCTGTCTGCTTTCTTCTGGCTTCCCCTCCTCCCTGGCAGAGCATGAGAGACTGAAGAAGTCCTTGATCAGGGTAAGGGCTACTGAGCAACAACTAAAGCATTGGTGTGTTACCAGCATTGTTCTCTAATTGAAGCTGAAACACAGCAATGCAGCAGCTACTACAAAGTAAAAAAACAACAAAAAAAAACAACTGTTACAGCTGAAACCAGGACAATATATTAGATATGACTTGTATAAATGTTAACTAAATGTTTCATGACTATTTTGTTTATCATGGTTAATTACAGAAAAAAACAGTGTTTTCCTCTTACTAGGAGGCTTTAACTTTAATTTTGTACTGCTTATAGGGCTGTGTTAATTGTGGGTTGGGTGCTAGGTTACATGTCAAATCAACTATGGTAAGAAAGAAGCATATTTGCTATTACATACAATGTGTACTACTCTGGGCACTATCTGGACATGATTTAAGTCCCACTAAATTGCTGACCAGTATTAGCAGCTTGCAGGTTTTATTGGGTATTAGAAGAGTAAAGCAAACCAAATTTTTGTATACTTGGTTATGCTCTGCTTTATAATAACCATAGGGTTAACAAAGCTGTAATCAGTTTTCTGTTGTAGGTCCACTAGGGTTAGCAGTAAAGGCTTTCAATAAGAATTCACAAATCCGCATGTAAGAAAAAAAAACAAACAAACCATATTTCAGTATCATTGAGGCATAAGGTAAAAAAGTTACTGGAACCACAGAGTAAGTAATTGTGTCTTTAAGTCAGGAATGTGCTTGAATATACCTGCTTGTTCTTCTACCAGCTCCTGTTTCATAGTTTGTCACCTTCAGGAAATATTAATCTTCAGAAATGCTTATTTTGCATAATTGTGTAGCTGCAGTTTTGTGTGTTTCAATTTATATGACACTTTGGTTAACATTTTTAAATTTCTAGGTACGGAATCCGCCCTGAAAATGTGATTATATATGGCCAGAGTATAGGAACAGTACCATCCGTGGATCTTGCTGCTAGGTATGAAAGTGCTGCTGTAATTCTTCATTCTCCATTGACCTCAGGAATGCGAGTAGCTTTTCCTGATACGAAGAAGACCTATTGCTTTGATGCATTCCCAAAGTAAGTTTTAGGATTTCTTTTTTTTTTTAATTCTGCATGCATCATTATTATAGGAGTTTTAGACTAAGAAATTAGTAATATGGCAAATTCTCTGAGACCTTTTCCAGAGGTTTAAAAAACAACAGTTGAAGGAAAGGGTATACATCAGGAAAGAATAACATCAATGAAGAACATTTGATTTAAAGGAGTTTACAGAACTTTGTAATCTAGGTTTTTCACATCTGTAACAATTTCAGTGGGTATCTCTTAAGTGTTTAGTTTCCTATATTGAGCCCCTAATACCATTAAATGTAACAAAGCAGTTTTAGTCAAGTGTATTATTAATCTCGGTAACTATGAACAGTCTTTTGCATATTTCTATAAGCAGCAAAGACTGAAAAGCTATGTAGACCTTAACTGAAGAAAATTCCTCTTATGTATTTCAGAACTAATTCCACTATTGGCCATTACAAAGTTGTATGCTTGTCTCAAATAACTACTTGTATTTTTAAGCATCTAACTTCAAAGACATTTTTCCCCATAACTGGTCAAACTTTAAGTGCTAATTTTTTTTCACTTCTGACAAGCACTTTTTTACTGAAAACTCTGAACTAATGTTTTCATCAGTCCTGTTGCTTTTTTTGTTTTTAATGTAACGTGGTAACAAATATCCCTTCTAGATGGATTGCTCTGTTATTCGATCCTAATAGTTTCCAGTAGTGGGTTGTTTTTGTTTCTGTGTGGCTTTACATGTGCTCCTGTAGTGGCTTCCAGGGTGTTGTTAAGATCTGGTTTTCTAATGAGTTAAACAACTTAAGAATTAAATTGTTAAAACTACAGTGTGTAATTAAAAAGTTAAGTCAACCATCTGGTCCTTCAAAAAGATCTAATAAAGCTCACTGTGTTCATAGATGTAATCTTTTTCTTACAGCATTGACAAAATTTCTAAAATAACATCTCCTGTGCTAATAATCCATGGGACTGAAGATGAAGTAATTGACTTTTCACATGGCCTAGCATTGTTTGAGCGTTGCCAGAGACCTGTAGAACCACTGTGGGTAGAAGGAGCAGGCCATAATGATGTGGAACTCTATGGACAGTACCTTGAAAGATTAAAACAGTTTGTGTCACATGAACTGGTGAACTTATAATTTTCTTTGTAGATTTACATGCTTTTTCATTTCATTGCAGAACTGCATGCCTTAATAAATATATAACATAAAACCTGAAGGTTGTGTTTTCAAATCATCTTGGTTGCCTTCATTAAATGTACAGGTAATGATTTGTCAACATAATTAATGAAGGTTTTAATGCCAGTATTATAAACTGGAATTACATGATCATGCAGTCAAGCTTGGCAGTTCATATTACTGTGTGAGATTTTGTCTTCTTAGATGTACAAAAAAAAAAATCACAAGGAGTACTGTATGAAATTGTAATTATAGAAATCAGATGCTGTAAAGGTGTTGCCAAATGCTTTAGCATATCAAAACCAAGTTTAAAAATATTTTTAAACATCTCAAAATGTACTGTGACTTATTCTGTTGCACAGGTGTAAATTAAAAACCAGACTTCTAAGCAGTTGTTCTATACAAATGTAGTAAACATGAAATTTTAGCAAATACGTATGTAATAAGAATAGAGAGTCACTGGGGATAACCCATGCCCTGTTATAGGGGAGGTGGTCAAAATAGCTCTCTCTTTCCATATTTTTCTCTTTTGTGCTTAGTTATACTTTAGTTGTTTTGTTCTTGTATTGTCCCTTACCTTTCACGTTAAACAAATTTACCTACTCATCTTCTCAGCAGTCCTAATCTTGCCAAAATAATGCTGCAAGTTATCATTGTTGTAATGCAAATATCATTCACGTAACGGCTACTGAGGTCACTGAGTACTTTGAAACCAGTAAGACTTACAGAACCTGGAAGTCTTCGTGGACCTTGTAGCTTCAAACATGGTTTGTGTAGAGGTGCAATATTTCATTATAAAGAACCTGGATGCTTATCCAACTTTGTAATAAACAATTTGCTAATATGCAGTTGTCTAATCAGGCTTACTTTTGGATATTCTGTGTAAAAGCTTACTGTTTTCCGAGTATTGTATGGAAACTTTACTAATTGGCTGGGGTGGAGGGCAAGAAGAGAATGTTGACATTTTTTTATTAACTAATAGTAAAATAAACAACAAACTTTGTAAGTTGCCTTTCCCTTGAATGCATTTTGTGTGAATAAAACTATGAAAAAGAAATTAAATTATATGTAGCCGATTTGTAAACTAAGTAATATTCCAACAATACACTGTGCTTCTGATTTCAAGGCCTTATGTAGTTTAATTGTTCTGCTTGGATTTTGTGATTGCAACTATTGTATACTTAAATGTAACTTCAAGTATTGTGAAAACTTTGGATAAGATGTGTTGGTTAACAGTAAACAATATTACACACTTGCTGTTTTCCTCTTTTTAGTTTTTTTAATTTTAAGAAATAGCAACAGTTTCTTGCAATATCAAAAATAATAAGCAACTTCCCCATTTAGTCTAAGAAATCTGAGAACTAAAGCAGAAACCCGTTGTTACAAATTGTTGGCACATTTCTTTATCAGCAGCTGCTGTTGTGATCACCCTCCCATCCCCATGCCTCTTCATGCTATTTTCTGCTATTCAGCATACAGTTTTTCTACTGCAGAACTACTCATAAATGTTCCTCTGTAATGAATTCAAATTTAGCTTTATTTGAATTCATCAGTGACTTTGTCTTGTGCCTTTTGGTTTGTTAATTGAATAGAAAGAAATTTTAATTTGTTCTCAAGCAACTGCGTTCTTGCTTGTCTTTTTTGATCATGTATGCTTGTGTTCTGAAGTTCAGAGTAGTATTCAGGCACAATATTATTAGACTTAAACTTTTAGACTTTTCATCCTAATCCAAGATTTTACAGTTAGAATGCTTAAATAGATATGTAACTTGGTTTTATTAAATCATACCTTAAACACAGAACTGCAATGGTAAGTGATCCAGATTGGCTGATAGTACTGCAAATTGTAGGCAAATGATCTAGTGTCATCACAAGAACTATTCCATTGTGCTAGCGAATATTATGGCACTCTGCAGTTGAAAAGAGAGAAAAGATGGCATAGCAGTTTTACTGCTTTTGTTTTTGTGTTTTGTTGAAGCAGAACAAAAGGCCTGACACACACTTTTTTTTATTTAGTGATGCAGCTGTGCTGGATTATGGTGGTAGGTAGCGCTTCAGGTCTCTTTGAGACCACTTCTGCTTAGTTAATTCTTGCAGTTTGCTCTGATTTTTATTTTATACTTAGATGTTTTTCATCTGAGCTGTTTACTGAAGGAATTAATTATTTTTTTTTTTGGCACCGCCTAGTTTGTATTGAGAATCATATGGCAATAAACTTGTTGGCAACATAAAGTGATTCTGAGCTTTTGCAGCTAGGAGGAAAACACTTGGCATGGTGATTGTCTTGTTAAACCATAGTTTTGCTGGAATTGACAGTGGGCTGTTGTTTTAAGTTATAAATGCAATTGTCTGTTGATAAATAGATAAATAATAGTTGATTCAGCATTCATTAACAAGACAATGTCTGTATTTTAGGGAAAAAGAAAAGAGTATTTTTGTGAACCACAGTCATTTTTTTTGTTGGTTTTTTTTTTTCTTGGAGACAAATATTTGACAGTAAACTTGTCTGTTTCAGTTCTGGAAACCTTGGCAAAACAACTTCAAAACCAGCTTCACTTATTGTAAAATATGAGATTAGCTTCTAAAGGTGGAGTATTTTGGGGCATGTTTTGCTGTCTCACATTCCCAACTACACATTAAAAAAAAAACCCAAACAAAAAAAAACCCAAAAACAAAAAAAAAAAGCTCCCCTATTTACAGTCTGCTTCTGGCAGCATAGAATTCCAGTGAATATTCAGTTAGCTGCTCTTATTATTATCTGCACTAATTATTTATTAGTGGGGGAAAAAGAAATCAAATGTTTACTTTTGGGCTCTTTAATTGAATGACATTGTTTACAGCTAGCTACTTCATACCTTTCACTATAAAGTTGTACAGATACACAGTTTTCTTGTTGTGTGGTAGGCATTGTTAATATTTTAAAACTGGAAATATGGAAAGTTGTGTTTGACAATCTGAGGGAAAAGCATCCTGTGTAAGTAGGAGCTGACTGCTTGAAAACAGCTTTGCAGAAAACCTGATTCCCACCATAGCTGGGGACTGATGAACAACACCAAGCCGATCATGAGCCAGCAGTGCACCCTTGCACCAAAGATGACAAACAACATCCTGGGATGCATTAGGCAGACACTTGCCAGCAGTTTAAGGGAGGTGATCCTTTACTCCTCACTGTGGGTGAAGGCATATGGAGTGGTGGGCTCAGTTCGGTGCCTCCCCAGTTTGAGGAAGATATGATGTACTGGAGCAAACTCAGTGCAGGGACACAGCCATGACTGAAGGACTGTGGAGTCTGTCATAGGAAGAGACATAGAGAGAGCTGGAGCTTTCTTAGCCTCTCGGCCTGGAGAAGAAAAGGTTTGTGAGGGCTATAATTGTGTGTGAGTGTCTGAGGGAGGTGAGAGAGCTCTACTTTCCCCAGTATTCCCACAGAGAGGACAAGGGGCAATGACCACACACTGAAAAAATAGGAAATCCAATTTTAGTACCAGAAAACAGCATTCTTTTTTTTGGGGGAGTGTGGTCAGACACTGGAACCAGTGGTGGAGATCACATCTTTACAGATGCTCAGAATCTACCTGAGCTCAGCCCTGGAAACTTGTTCTAGCTGACCCTGCTCTCCGTGTAAGAGTTGAGCTACATGATATCAAGTGCTCCCTTCCAACTTCAGCCATTCTGTGGTTTTGTGAAGTATGGCCTGCAAATCCTTTTGATGGTTGGTGCTACACCCATTTGTGTGCCACAAGTGACAATTCCTTAGTTACAAGAATTATCTTCACTTCGTGCTGCCTACTTTTGACTTTTCAGCAACAGAAAACAATAAAAAGACTGCTATGGAAAAAGCCCATTCTGTCTAAATCCTGAGACAATCACTGTTAGGTGTGCTGTGGCTGAGACTGACTCTAATACCAAAATTGATACCACAGTGCCATCGAAGGTCACATTGCTAGCCTACGACAAAAGCAAAGATTGAAAAGCTAGATGTAAAGCATAGGCATGATATCCTGAAAAAATCAGAAGTGCTCAAAAGGTCTTAAACATTCTCAAAGGTGGGAATGTGTAATTCACAACTACTGTTATCTTGGGTGCTTGGTAAACAGCAGAGGAGACTGAAGAGATACAAGGTTGTTTGAGGCTGTTTCAATAAAGTTAGTTAAAAAGCTTGTTCTACTTGCATAGCCTTCGTAAGACAAAAAAAGTTCTTTATGTTCTCATTGGAGGAAAAAAGGGTTTTCATGTGCTGCTCTGTGTCAGGCTCAATGCACTTACTTCTGACAACACTTTTTCCAATCATTAAAAGTTGAGCTTAAGTAGCACTAGATTGAAATTTCAGCATGAAGTAGCCTTAAAACTTTTAACATATGAAACTTCTTAACCAATTTACATTGGGAAAATATTAATTTTAAAACAGCCATAGAATAATGTTTCCCAGTGAAGAAATTCCATTTTCTCGTGACAATGAATTCTACCCTACACCTCTCCTTCTCCCTTTTTTATAAATCTTTGTTTCTCAGGTAAGACTGCGTTCTCTTTCGTTCTGTGAAAGGAAGTAAAAACATAGCATATTTCTTGTACAGTGGCAAGGAAAATGGTTTAAGAACAGTAATGGTAAAAGAGTCCTTAGAATCTGATGACTCTCGTCAGCGAAGATGGGGCCAACCTTGAAGAAGAATCTCCACATCAGCTTTTCCCTAGAGGTATTAGTAAGATGTCTTAATTTTATAATTTTTTCAAAATAATTAGAAAACCTCAAAAGGTTTTTTGTGTCCTAGAAGAGGTTTTGTGGTTAGTAAATGAGGCATCATACAAATGGTTGTAATTTTAATGTTTCATATTCAGTTTCTTTTGCTTACAGTGGGCAAACAGTTCTCTAACCTTCAGCACTGAAGAGAAGACATGGAAGAGATTATTGAAGATGAGAAAATCAATTAGCCTTGCTATTATGCTAGAAGCTATGCACATCTCAAGTGGGTAGCTGTGCCCAGTCTCCTAGAACCTAAGGTATATCCATACAAATGGAATCATTTGTATGGATATATATAATATTGTCATATTGAGATCTTTTTTTTTTTCCCACAAAGGCACAGATATTTTGCCCCAGAATTTCTGGAGTCAGGTAGGTAGTGGATTTACTATTTTGTTCCAGAACAGAATTATAGTAAAGATCCAAATAAGTCTTAAGCTAGAACAGTATTTGATCAGTAACTCACCTAGTACCTTAAAGACATATAACAGCAGTGCAAGTCTTTCTCAAGCATCTTAAGCATTGCAAAAGTCCTTGGTGGGGCAAGTCATCTGCTTTTAAACATCTTGTAGTCTAAATATACTTTAAATGTAAAAGGGCTGTAAGCCATCCGAAGGCAAGCATGGACTCAAAATCACCAGCAGCTTTGTCAGAGCATTGCTTATTTGGAGGCGCACGTGATGTGCCATGATCTTGCCTCAAATCTTGATTAAAGTAAGTTTACTAGGTCCATTTGGTAGATGCTGCACACTCTTCAGAAAGGTAGCAGAACTGTGCTAGTCACTGGTTTGAAATGGCCCCCCAGGATGGTGCTATTTTGTTATGTTAATGATGATGTTTTAATTTGTTAAAAACACAGTCACAAAAGATTTGGGAAACCTAAGAGCTGGCAAAAGACATTGTGGTTTTCAGACATTTCTGCTGCCAGAAATGGTATGTAATGGTACTAAATATATAGTTTAATTATTTATTTGGTATTTAGCCAACTCTTTTGTAGTGTGCTGCGCAGAGAAGGGGAACGTATCGCATGATTTACTTAACAGAATTGTTTGTGTTGTAGTATGGTTTATAGTTAGCAACAAGCTTGAATAAAAGTCACAACCTGTCAGAAGTTTTGTGGCCGTTCAAGTAGTGTAACAGAAATTATACTTGGAGCCAGGCAAAGAATAGTCTTGAAAAAGACAGAGAATCCAGCATTCTCAGTTCGCCTATCATAGCAAGTGTGTGATAGATAACCTGTCATTCTGTTCAGGATTCCTGAACCAAAATAGTTGGAGGCATTCAGTTAGGATAATGCATACACTGTATTTCGTGTGTTTTTCTGTAGTTACAAAGGCTAGAAGGTTCTGTTTTAAGAAAAAGTTGAGATTTACTTGTCAGTAGCTAGTCTTTCAGAGGTATGAGATAGAAGGTGTGATAAAACCATTTTAAGGACTGGCAAATGTGAATATGCAGTCCTGGAGGCACCTCCAGAAAAATGCAGATGTTAACTCAAAGCTGTGTCATGACAGATT